ACGAAGGAAGGGGCAGGCCACAGAGGAGCCTGGTGCTGGTCCTAACTTTTGAGAAAACAAGTCTCCAAGGAAACACAAAGCCCTTCGGACTATTGGCCTGAGTCTGAGAGCTGCCAGGCTTGTTAAAGAAATGACAGTGGACTCCAGAAGTGCAACGTGCCACTTGGAACACAAGAGAATGTGTCCTGCATTCACGCCTGGCTCGGGGTCAGCCGTCAGTCAATAGAACTGGGCCGTGAGTTAGAAAACAGGCCGCGGAGGGTCCTTCAGGAAACGTTTACAATGCGGGATTATTCCCACCCTCATTGTGTCTGCTGGAAAATGGAACAATGACTGTTTCATAACAAATTGTTCAGTAGGAAAAAACGTAGTAATGGGAATTTCTGGGTAAGTACATAACAAAGTGAATACAATAAACTTGTGGTTAAAAATAAAGGTGAACCCTTAAAAAATCAGAACTGAGTTTAGTTTTGTGATTGGCTATTCCAATCCTTGTTCTGGCTTTAAAGTAATGTCTACTAGTGTAGTCATGGGGCGAAGTCCAGCCCATGTTTTGTTTTTGTAAATTAAGTTTTGCGCATTGGATATGGCTGCTTTCTGCCACAGTGGCAGAGTTGAGTGGTTGTCACAGATGCTGTGTGGCCCACAAAGCCTAAAATATTTACCGTCTGTGCTGTACAGAAAAAAAATGTTCACCTCTGTTCTAGAATTTAGCCACTCAAAGCAGCATTGGTGAGTCTTGGGGCACAATGCAGTTTGAGAAGCAGGCTAGGGTAGAGGTTCCTCGCTGGGGCTTCAGTAATGGAACTCCATGAAGTTATAGGCACAACTCTGCATACCTTTCTGCACCTCTACCTTCTCAGAGTTAGAAGGTTCTGTACCCTACCACTTTCTCAGAGTGGTTTATAACCCCCCAAAGTTAAGAATCATTAAGCTTAGAAAGGGATGGTTGAAGAGACCTCACTACTTTCCACCAAAACATGTCAGGCCCAGCTTGTACTCATTTATTTATTTATTCTTAAATAAAGAATAGCAGATTTGTAGCACAGCACAGCTGTGGGATATGCCATTTTGTAACGATTTTTTCTGGACAAGGGACTATTTCATGGACATTGGTTCCTTGAGCTTGAATAGCTAGTGTCACATCACACTGTGGCTCTGGAGATATTTATTACGTGCCTGTCCTACCTTGGAAAATGAAAGCTCTGGGGTCCAAAATTATAGGCCTTTGTAATGACTTTTTTTTTTTTTTTTTGTCAGTCTTTACCTGAGGATATTTTTTTCCGTGCTTTTTCAGAGAGTGGAAGCAAAGAAGGGAGGGGGAGAGAGAGAGCCACATCGACTGGTTGCCTCCTGCATGTGCTCCAACGGGAGGGCAGGGAGTGAACCTGCAACCCAAGTACGTGCCCTTGAATGAGAATCAAACCTGAGGCCCTTGGGTCCACAGGCTGAAGCTCTAACCACTGAGATACACCAGCCAGAGCTGTAATGACAATGTTATTAAACATCCATCCTGTATGGCACCCTGTAGGAATTCCTAAAAAGCAGAAGGTGGGATCTAACATGGTCTGAGGCTGACTTCTGATCACCTTTTCCATGAATGGCTGTTCTCTGTACACTGTGGGACTTCCTTACCCTGTAGGAGGCTCCTATAGTGGGTAGTAGGAACCAGAAGATTGATGTGTTGTCTCTGGGTTGCCCAGATGGATACATGCTTCTGAGGTTGGAAGCTGGGCAGATCAGTAAAGAGAGGAATGACAAAACTGGTGTCNTCTGAGGTTGGAAGCTGGGCAGATCAGTAAAGAGAGGAATGACAAAACTGTGGTGTGCGAGGTAGAGAAAGGAAAGAAGCTCAGAAAGGCAGAACTCGTTGAGGAACACTTACCTTAGGACCAAAATGTCACCCCACAAACCTAAGATGGTACGTGTCAGTTCTGTATAACCTAAAACTTTTTGTCCATTAGAAATTAATGTAGGGTAAGATGGACTACATTATTAAGGATGTAAATCCTTTTTGGTGCTCTTTTTCAGTGTGTGTGTGGTTCTCCTTTGGGACAAACAGGTTCCCAGGGTCAGGGTTCTGGGAACTGGGGAGGAGCTGTATGCAGGGCAGGTCTGGCTCTTGGGCTGCCCTAAGACCCAGGGACTTTGAAAGTTTGCCTATGAAGCCAAGACGTTAGAAGCAAACACACAGAATGATATGGCAAGGAGAAAGCAAGAATGACACGTGGGGTGGAACTGGGAACCCCTAGAGCAGAGTGTGAGGTTTTGGAAGAAGAGNAGAATGATATGGCAAGGAGAAAGCAAGAATGACACGTGGGGTGGAACTGGGAACCCCTAGAGCAGTGTGAGGTTTTGGAAGAANGAATGACACGTGGGGTGGAACTGGGAACCCCTAGAGCAGAGTGTGAGGTTTTGGAAGAAGAGGAGGAAGAATTGCAAGAAGTGGAACAGGACCCCCGCTTGGAGGGCACAGCTCCTTGGGATTGTGGGTTATGAAGAAAACACAGCTCAGTCCAGGTTGCAGGGTCCTAGGAGATTTTACTGATGCTGAAGCTTATCTGTTTCACGGGAGCAAGACTTGGCCTGTCTCCAGTGCGCCTGCCGTTTTATGTATTTCTTAGCTGTGTCCTCTGACAGGGCCTGGGAGCAGTGATCCCCGATGGCCATGAGCAAACCTATGACCCAGATCTTTGTTTCCAAATGCCATTCTGCACCAAACATTTTTTTTCTTCTTTTTCCAACATGAAGAAAGTGCTACGAGAACGAAGGGCACATTTCAAAAGGACACAGGAGCCAGCTCGAGGGAGCTTCCTACAGGCAAAGGTGGGGCACTTTCAGCATCAAAATAAATATAGGATCATAAGTCGTTGAATAATATGACATCAATGAGTCCATACTAATACGGATAAAATAAATGAGGAAATGAGGATATACCGTCTTCAATAGAATATCAACTAATACATATAGAAGAAAGGGTAGAATTAAAAATCATTTGGCAACCATCCTTCTATAATTAATTCAGGCAAAAAATTTTAAAGCATGCTAAAATTAGTGAGATGAGGAACACGATATTTACATAACCTCAGAGTTTTTCCCCACGAAATACTTGTTAAATATAATAGGGGGAGATTAAAGGATACCATTATAGTAGAAAACCCAGGAGACATAAGTGATCAAGTTTAATATAACCACTTGCTGGGGTGGAATCAGAAAATTACATTACATTTTGTAATGTCTATCCTCTCCCCACTGGGGGGGATTATTATATATTTGACCTGAATCTATTCATGAGAAAATAATAGACAAACTCCAATTGCAACACATTCTACAAAATAACCTCTGGTAAGCTTCAAAACTGACAAGGTTCTAAGAGTCAAGGTTCTAAGAAACTGGTTCAGATTGAAGAAGAATAAAGCAACATGACGAATACAACATGTGCCCCTGGCTTCTGTCCCTTTGCATTGTCAAGGCATTTGGTGAAACTTAAACTGTGGGGCCTGTGGTAGTGTACCAGTGTTAATTTTCTGGTTTGAATGGTTCTACTGCAGGAAATACTTGTATGTAGGAAATACTTTGAGCAGACCGGAGTAACAGGACCTCGGGCCTGCAACTTACTACCAAATGGTTGGGGGGGACTTATTTATTTTTTGCAACAAGGTAAGGTCTTGTGGGTAATCATTATGTTTTTTGAAGTTGTGGAAGACAGTGGCAAAGGTCAGCTCTGGCTGCAGAGGGGTGAGGAAGATTGAGAATGGGTTGGCAGTTTATGTTTATTGATTGATCCTGTCATGGGGGCTCCAGCATCATAACCTCATCTAAACTTAATTACCTCCCAAGGACCCCTCCTCCAGATATCATTACTTTGGGGGTTAGGGCTTCAAAGTACAGATTTTGGGGGCACACAGATGTTCAGTCCATAGCATCATCATTCTTTTCTTTGATCAAATATTACCAGATTTGGCCAGTGCAGTTCAAGCAACTTCAGGCTCACTCCTATGGCCGTTGACATGTCCCCATCATTCTCACTGATGACACTATAGAATGATCCGGGTTCATTTGTGTTTTCCCTGCCCCAGACCTGGAATCAGCCATTTTCCGGAGATTTCAGGTTCTTTTTAATGAGAAATTGTGTTTAGAAACCAAGATCTAGGAACTAAGCATGCTCATTATTGCTGTCTTTGTTTCTAGGCCTTTTCAGTGGGCAAAGCTTGGAAATGTATGCCTCTTATTTTAAATCATGGTTATAGTCTGATAGTTGCAATTTAAATTCAACACACTAAGTTCCTTTCCACCTTCCCTCATTCCAATATTTTTATTTTCCTCCCACAGCAGAAAATCTTGTTTCCTAACAACATCAATTTATTTGTTTTAGCATAGTTATACAAAATAGTTTCAGAACGACTACTACACTAGCACTAATACCAACAACAGACCAAATAAGTAAAGTGCAAGATTGCTTGGAAGCTTTTGGTATTATTACTGTTAAAGAGTGTATCCCACTAAGGGTGTGCAGAGTGTTCATGTTCAAATATTACATGAATGTGGTTGTGTTGCCAACTTCAGTTCAGTTCTCTTGTTTCTGTTTATATTTGATTTGAGGGTTTGATTTTGTTCATCCTTTTTGATTTAGTTGCTTTTTTTGGATATGTAAATTGTTTACATGACTCAAAAGCCATAAAGTATACAAGGTATACTGAGAAAGGCCTGGCTCCCAAGCCCTTTCTCAAGTGTTCCCACCCCTCCCCTTATTGGTGACCATTTACATTAGTTGGTTTGTCCTCTGTGTTTATCTTTGTAAAAATCAGTAAATATATATTTTTACTTTTCTTCTTTCTTTCACTTTGCTTTTTTCTTTTTCTTGTCTTATTGATTTTCAGAGAGAGAGGACAGGAGAGGGAAAGAGAGAAACATTGATGTGAGCAAAAACATTAGTTGGCTGCCTCCTGCACATCCCCTGCAGGGGGTCGAGCCTGCAACCTGGGTATGCACCCTGACTGGGAATAGAGCTGGTACTGGAATCTTTTGGTGCCCAGGATGATGCCCAACCAACTGGGTCATACCGGCCAGGGCAGCTTTTTTCTTCACTTAACTGTATAACCCGCTGTCATTTCAGAGCAGTTCATAAACATCATGTTTTTGTGCCACCACTTCCTAACTACTCCATCATGTGGATAGATATCAATCAGTTTCTGTGAATGGGACTTTAGATTTTCTTTTTTACTACAGCGTAATTGTTATTGCAAATGATGACGAGATGAATCACCTTGTGAATGTCATTTTGTATTTGTGGAGGTGTATCTCCAGAGTAAATACTTAGAAGTGGAATTGTTGGGTCAACAGGTAAAGTCATCTAGGGTTTGATTTTATAATAACATATTTTCCTCCTACCATTTGTTCCCCCAGGAGCAATATTTGAAAGGGTCTGTTTGGAGGCAGATTGTTACAACCCTTTTAGTTTGAGTAAAGAATTATCAGTAGTCTCAACCCTCAGGTGACATCATGATCACCCAGGATGCTTTTTGAAGATGTGTACGTTGGAACTGCACCCCCAGGTACTGATTTATTCGGTCTTCAGTGGACATTAGGAGATACGGATTAAAATTATTTTGTAGAAGTACTAGTTTAGCATATGTGTTTAGTTACCCACACAGTAACTTTCCTTTAGCAAACTTGCCATTCTAGGAGGAGGTAAAAAAAAAAACAAAAAACGTACTTTTAATGGCTGAGCCCTATCATGCTCATGATTGCTGAATTGCCTACAAACACTGATGACCATATACCTTCAATTTTTCAAAAATGGCTTGAGGCCAATTCGTTTTCAGTCCTTCTACAAGCATATATTGAGCACTTACTGAGTGCTAGTCATTGCCTAGGCACTGAGGAAAAGATACAAGACAGATCATGTCCCTGGTCTTAGGGTCTTCATTCTAGTTGGAGGAGAGATAGGTGAACAGGTGTTCACTGAACCCCTCAGTTGTCCCAACACAGGGGGTGTGTGTGTGTGTAGGTCCCTACCCTTAAGAACTCACTTTTTGATGGGGGCAACACAAGTAACAGAATATGGGCATTTTAGAAAAGGGTTCTCAGAGACCATANCCCTGGTCTTAGGGTCTTCATTCTAGTTGGAGGAGAGATAGGTGAACAGGAGTTCACTGAACCCCTCAGTTGTCCCAACACAGGGGGTGTGTGTGTGTGTAGGTCCCTACCCTTAAGAACTCACTTTTTGATGGGGGCAACACAAGTAACAGAATATGGGCATTTTAGAAAAGGGTTCTCAGAGACCATAGAATTGTTGCCTCACCCAGCTAGAACAGTGAAAGAAGACTTCTTGGAGTTGGTGTTGGACATTTGGGCTGAAATTTTCCAGGTCAAAAAAGCATTTCAAACTAAGAGTGTGCAAAGGCTTAGAGGCAAAAGGTGTGTGATGTTGCTTTTAGAGACTTTCAAATGGCTCAGAGTGGCTAGAGTGTGGGATTCAAGCCAGGGTATGACAGAAAGAAAATTGGACAATTAACCAGAGGGCACATTATTTGTTCCAATGCCTGGTGCATAGTAGGTGCTCCATAAATCATTGGATGTCATTGGATGGTTGGGTGCTTGAATAATGACTTGCTGATTTATGGAATAGAACAGTTCTTGCAGTAGTGTTTTGCTAACCACACTTACAATAAAAGGAGTTTGTGTTCCCACTGTATTTGATATTTTATCTTGTAATTAAACTGATTTTTTATGCAAATGGAAATCAGATTATGAAAGTAGCTATAATTGAGAAGGTCACCTGGATGATGTATTTCCCTGTTCTGGATTGATGGACAGGAAGAAAAGCTCTTCAAATTGTTGTCATGATGTTCCTGTCCCTTATCTGCTTATTATAATCCTGCTTCTGGGATAGATGGCCTTTTAAAAATGCATAGCCTCTTGGGGCCTTAGAGCCCTAGGAGTGTTTCCCTTCAGCTAAAGAGAAACAAATACACAAGGAAACAGACACCCCGTGTTCAGTGATGTCAGCGGTAGAATCACTTCCTGTGTTTGTGTGGATCTGTGGTTCTATGGTCTCATTGATATTCCTTTAGACAGAAACATGACAATTAAAGTGATCACTTGAAGGATAGGAGAAGCAGTGGGTTACTGGGAATCACTATAGATCTGAATTTTTGAGGCTTTGCTACCTTTCCTGTCAAAGTTGGTTAAATTTGACCTTGTTTTTAAGTTACTCAATAACTGAGAGCATTAGAGAATTATTTTCTGAAATAGACTGGCTGTCTCAATAAACCAATTTAATCTAATTCCCATGACCTACATCAGTTAATGCTTTGTGGAAAGTCTATTTTCATTTAAATCTGTATTTGTTGTTTTCCTCCTATTCTTGCTGTGTCTCTATGAAAAGTGCTAGAATGTGCATGAAGCAAGGGAGTGGCTACTTTCTCTTCCAGTGAACATCAGTGAAATTTATTTATTTTAATTTTAATTTATTTGTTTGAGAGAGAGAGACATCAATTTGTTGTTCCACCTGTTCATGCATTCATTAGTTGATTTTTTAAAAAAAAGATATTTTTATTCATTTTTAGAGAGAGAGAACGGGAAGGAAGAGGGAGAGAGCGAGAGTGGGAGAAACATTGGTGTGCGAGTGTAACATTGAGTGGCTGCCTCCTGCACGCCCCCTACTGGGGATCGAGCCTGCAACCTGGGTATGTGGCCTGACTGGGAACTGAGTCAGCAGGCTTTCAGTGCACGGCTCAAAGCCCAACCAACTGAGCCACACCAGCCAGGGCTCCTTGGTTGGCTTTTGTCTGTGCCCTTACCGGGGATTGAACCAGCAACCTTGGCATATCAGGACGTGACTCTAACCAACTGAGCTACCCGGCCAGGGCCAACATCAGTGAATTTTAGTAGAAACACTGAGTCAGGAGTGGATGGAAGTTCACTGCCTCGGCTGAACTGGCACAGTGACTTGAGATGCTTCATCATTTCTCCTGCTTTGATAAAAATTTTGAATTAGCAGATATGTATAGATTTACTATGCTATTATAGGTACGCACAAAATGAGAACAGACCCACAAAATCTCAGCAATGTCAGTGATGGCAAATTTCTGTTTGGTGGTTGAAAACACATTCTTCATATCAAGCAAGACTAGTACTGGTGGGCTCTATATTGGGTGTGGTTTCTAAAACCCTATCAATTTTATTTGCTAGCTTGAAAGACTGTTTTAATTTCTTTTCTACTTACAAAATGCATACTTGCTAAGTCAGACTGTTTTAAATTCAAAGGCAGCATTTGGGAAATTTACTCTTTTTAGACATTTTATGACTCTCCTAAAAAAGAAAAATTATTGAGAATTTTTGTTGCAAATGAAATGAAAGCTGAAACTCAGTAAGTTATTGGTAGATTAAATGGGCTGACTTTAATAAGGGGCAGTACATGGCTATTTGGGAAATATTTTTGCCTTACTGGATTGGAATACAATTTTTCACCAAATAAGACTTATCAATTACTTTATTTAACTAAAACTACTAGCTTAGGACAAATAAACATCCTGTACTATAAAAATACTTTTATGTTTTACGTAGTATGTATACACATGTGTACTTAACACAAAATGAAATACCCACACAAAAATTAAATATCCATATATTGTATGTATTGTAAATAGCAATACAGACTTTTCTTATTCAGATTCAAAATGCCTTAGAATGACTTTACCTCAACCAAAACAATAACCTTTTGCATGGATAGAAATTACCATTAAGTGTTGATTATTACCGATTAATTCTGATGTTTAAGTGACTCTCGATTGTTTGAAAATAGGACTTAAATATTTTACTTCCCCTAAAATTGAATACATTTGATGTTATGAAAAATAATTGCAATAAATCTATAACAAANTGTTTAAGTGACTCTCGATTGTTTGAAAATAGGACTTAAATATTTTACTTCCCCTAAAATTGAATACATTTGATGTTATGAAAAATAATTGCAATAAATCCATAACAAAACCAGTTTAAGACTTAGGAATTATCTGTTTCTTATAGTTAAAAAAAAAAAAGAATTGGATTTTATGTGGCCTACATGTATAAATATACTTATAGGTCAATACATATATATATCCCCACAGTAGTATGTTTAGAATATGCATTTATATTCTAAAAGGTTACATAACTAAATAAAGTGTTTGGGAAGTAAATTGTTTTTTATTTGATGGTGAGACCTTAAGTTTCAACATGTGACAAGAAACTTATTTTTTTATAGAAGTCATTTACATGTAAAGCTCTTTAATAAAATGAATCCTTGGTCTCTATCGGACATAAAATTGTATTTTTACAGTGTGTTTTGCTCCAAGGGAACTTGGTGGGAATTGTGTCCTAAATTGCTCAGTTTTTTCTCTCGCATCTTAAATACTTGTGTATATTCTTGGATATAAAAAGCTAGATCAGCCCTGGCTGGTGTGGCTCAGTTGTTTGGAGTGTCGTCTGTACAACAAAAGGCGGCGGGTTCTGTTTGATTCCCGGTTAGGGCACTTACCTAGGTTTTGGGTTTGATCCCTGGTCGGGGTGCGTATCAGAGGTAACCGATTGATCTCTCTCTCTTTCTCTCTTCCTTTCCTCTCTATAAAAAAATCAATAAAAAACATATCCTTGAGTGAGGATTTAAAAAAATTTAGGTCATCCATAGCCTCACCTTTCAGTTTTGGGCTTCTTGGACTGAATATTCTTATTCTGGAGGTGAGAAGAGAGTGAACGGCAGGCTTGCGGTTTATCCAGGTGTTACTGAATGAATGAGTGCCCACTGTGTGCATCTACCATGCTCGCAACTTCATGAATCTGTAAAGATGTGCGTTAAAGAGGAGGAAGGAGCTCACACTGAGTAAGGAACAAAGAGAAGAGGGTGAATCTAGCATTTCCCTGTGTTGATTCTGTAACTACAGCCGTATTTAGAGAGAAAGGAATTTACAAGGTAAGAAAAGGCTGTGTGGGCCTACAGACAGTCCTTACGACAATAGAATGGCCTAACAAACAGCTCTAGCACAGCTCCACAGAGCCTCTTATAAGTGTTTTACTGTCACGTCTCGGAGATGAGAAGAATTTGAACACTGTTAAGGTTTGTCTCTGTAACCATTTGTAACTCTGTCTCTTCCCCTCCCCCATTTTTTCTAGAAGGCCCATTGATGAAAACATCTATTTCTTTGTTGTGTAATAATTGATTGGTGAAATATAGCTTCATGTAAATAAAGTTATGTGGTAAAGCTAGTTTCCCAATAGTTACCTAAGTTTCACATAAAAGCCAAGACTTCAGGAGATAGAAATGTCAAAGTTAGGAGCGTTTTTTGGCCAGCTCTGTGATCTTCAGACCCTTCCCTGCTGAGTTGCATCAGAGCCTTGCTCCTCAAACATGCTCTCTCTGTCCAGCTGCCTGAACCAGGAACCTGGGGGTCGAGTCCACATTCCTCCTTTACTCTCCCCACCCCCACCGCCTTCCTTCCAGCCTTGCCCATCCCCAATTTCAGTGATTTCAGTTGAACCCCCTGCCAGTTCGTTCTCTGCTCTCTTGCCAGAG